GTGAACATATCCATGGCCCTTCATAAGGAAGAGATTAGGGAATAATTTCTGTAGTGGCTTCGACCATTCAGGGTCCAGCACTATATTCTCTTTGCTTATGACATACTCTAGTAAGTTAATGGTGCTTAACCCATAGGAACACTTATCATAGTGTAAAGTTGTATTTTTCAACAGCAGCCATGAGCCACTTCAGATGGCAATCTTGGTTTAGTTTTGTCATGGCTATATACTATTACATTAAATTTTTTAAAAAAGTTAAAATTAAAAGATAACGTTTAAAAGGCATTTAGAAGACATAGTTGCTAGCATCATCCACACTGCTGAACTGTGAGAAGAAACAGACGGACAAACATTTAAAAAATTAACTTTCATTTTTTTTTTTCTTGTGGCATATTGACTTTTGCACAGGACACAATAAACAGGCAACAGAATTTAGTCTACAAAAATAACATTTATGTGAAGGCAGCAGTAACAGGTTGTTTGAAAGACTCAGAAAAGGCTTCTGGAACTGTATAAACAAGAGTTTTGAGCATGAATAAAGTGGGGGTCAAATGAAAGGTGTAGAGGAGAGAGACAAAGTACTTTGATAGATTTGTAATTTTTTATCTACCTAGAATAGATGGGTTTTGTACAGCTCCAACAATTTCAGGTTGCATGTCAGATGCAGATTGTTTTATGTCTAATAAGATAACCTGATCATAAGCTGTTGTCGGGTCTAAAATTTTATTTTTAATTTTCCTTTGTCGTATTTGGTGAGACAATAGGGTTGCAAGAAAGTTGTTGAATAAAGTTTTCCAGTAGTACCAACCATCAGTAGTATCTTAATCAGATGCATCTAGGTCTAAATGGTTGAGTTCCATGTCTATAATTACTTTTGTTGATTTGTAATTAATAGGAAATTAAATCAACAAATTGGTTGAAAAACAGAGAAAAAGTGGAAAAGTCTCTTATGAGAAAATTATTCTCCACTTTTATTTAATCTAGCTTCAGATATATTTGGCAGACTTTACTAATTACTTTCACATTCTTTTCAGCATGAATTATCTCAAAAGTATTATATTTAAACTGATTTCCTCAAATAAAAATGGAATTAACTATGACCAAATTATCGATGTATGCTATGTACTAGCAATGTCTCCTTGTCGTACTACTTAGGGCTCTTTTCTTACTAACTTTCCTTGAAGCAATTAATACAGATAAAAATCAAAGCTAGTGTAATGACAGCCATGTTTTTCCCATGTCCTCAAACCCTTATTTCTTGTTCAACTGCAAGCATAGTCAAAACAGATGAACAATATATGAAAAGTCAATTTTTTCAGATGATGTGATATTTGCCCAGAGGGTGGAGGTGATGTCTATATATGAAATGAATTAAATGGTCCTTTCTTAATTTCTTTATTATGTTTTGGGAGGGGAGGTTGGTTAAGTGAGTGGGGTGGGGGAGCTGAAAACTAACAACTGTTATCAGTAGGGTAAATACAATCATTAAAAACAGCTTTCAAATTCCCACTAGGATTACATTTATTTCACTCTGCTGGAAAGCATAAATCCTTCTTTCTCTATACTCTCTATCATCGTGAGATATCGTGCAGAAATGGCTTGTTACTGGCATGTCCTATTGGTTGATTATTAAAAGTAGATAACTGAACAGCTTAGGACTCCCTGAAACTACCATTCATTTTTTTGTTTTGATTTTTTTTTTTGAGAAATGTGTGCAAACAGGCACCGGCAATTTGATAATAAAAAATAAACCTTAGTTTTCTACTGTGTTATTCTATAAAGCTTAGACTGTATCTGAAAGTTTTTTTTTTTTTTTTTTTTTCAATAAAACTAAAATAGTTATCTCCAAAAATTTACTGAAAAAAATAGCATCCCATGATGAAAAAGGTCCCAAACTTGATAAAAACAAAATTTTATTGTCAAAATGTTTGTTATTATTAACAGGAAAGACCAAAAATGTTTTTATGAATTTATTAATCCTTTTAGGGCATTTGAAATTTTGGTTAAATTTTTAATTATTTTTATTGTTTCTTTGGTATGGAAAGTTTAGCATCTTTTTTTGGTAAAAAAAACATTGTTTTGGAAATTCTTGCAAAAATCAAATAATTGTCAGTTTAATTAAATTTTCAGGACTGATTCACAACTGAACTAAATTATTTTGGAAATTTTATTGTTTTTTTGTTTTGTTTTTTTTTACATCTATTTTTTTACCCTTTTTATATTCGCTAAAATTCTTGGAGAATTTAAATTCTCGATTTGTTTTTGTCAAACAAAAACACCATTTACCAAAAATCTGCCCTGAATCATAAAATAAAAAATGCAATAATGTCACCTTTTAAGTCCTTCCCGGTCATCTAAATGTCCAACACCTACAGCTGATCAATAAAATGATCATTTTGATCCAGACCTTGCTTTATCCCACATTGTGATTAGTTTTGATCAAAAGGCCAGCAAGGATCAAATTGTCGTTGGGTATTTTTGTATTGGGCTGGTCCAAGTGAAATGAAGACACAAGAAAAGAAATAACTTGAATAAAAAAAAAAAAAAAATGTTATATATATATATATATATATTACTTTGTACAATACTTGGTTAGTTTTGTCATTAAAATCTAGCAGTTTGCATATGGACAGTTATCAACCCAACCCACTTAGTTAGATGTAACACTTTTGCTGGCTTGATTAAGTTTGGCACAAGGCTGATGTCAGAGGCTCTCTTCAGGCAGATAGTCATGTGAGGTTATTCTCATCCAGCGTCTGGAACAAAATCTCTCTCCATATTGTCGCTTTGATTCCTTTGTATTTATTGACATTCATCCAAAACTGGCATGGGGCAAGACACAGTTTGGGAATTCAGTATTTCCTTTATCTTCCAACAAGAATCCCTATCTGCTGTCTGAGTTCTGAAAATTAATTACATTCCATGGGTAGCAGTTGCAGGTATCAATCTTCCCTGATAACGTCTTCCTTCTCTTATTGGTATCTCATACCAACACTTTCCAATGGGTGTTGGCAGCTCTTTCACCTCCCTCAGTGTTCATCTGCACCTGCCACCTTGGCTACTCTTCAACCAATTGCTCTTGATTGCTTGACGTGGCTTAACTCCGAGGTCGTTAATCAAAAGAATTATCATTTCAAACTTGTCACCTATGCAAAATTCTGTACACTGGCTTTTTGTTTTTGTTCAGAATTAAACCCTGACCATGTGGCTCCTTCCACAAGGAATTTTATTCTCTGATTTTTATTATAGATCAAATCTTATCCGTTTCTCTCTATTTTTGTTTTTGTGACCAGTACTTTTACGGACAGGTCATCAGCCAATTATCAAAAGATCGCCACATGGACCTCTTGTGAAAATATCCCTTTAAGCAATTCTCCTGATTTCTTGTGAATTAAACTTTTTTTGAAAAAAGAAATCTTCAATCTTTCTTACAATCTGCCCATCACTATAGTCATTAACCCTTTTTCTTTTTTTTCTTTTTATTTACCAGCTCTCTCTTGGTATATCCATTGTTCTATTCATTAACCCTTCTCTTTTACCAGTAGCCAATAATGTCAAAATAAAACTATGATATTATTTAATTAATAAAGCAATTCTGAGTAGAGAACTTGGAGCCTTAAACTTAACCTGCCTGCTGACAAGTTCAGCTGCTGCTGCTACTTGTCACATTTGTCTGCACTCTCCAAAACTTTGCTTTTTACTGCTGCTGTTGTTAAAGCTTTACTGTCATATCACTTTCTTTCCTTATTAAAATAAGAACTAGATGAGATATCTGTAGACATGGACAATAGAATGAGAATAATCTACCTCCATAGATTAAATAGTTCAGTTTGAAATTCTCTGAAGCATACTTGGATCAACAAGCATGTGATGAAGGTGTGGACACAACAGTTGAAACATGATAAAAAAATGAGGACAATAGTCTGCATTTAAATAATGGTAACTCCTCATTCCAGAAATTCAGAAAATTTTTTTCTTTTACTTTTGCTTACTCACTCAAGAGAAGATACTTATTTGATGAAACTGCCTTATAAACTGAACAGATTAGCATTTTGTGCAAAAGAGAAAGATTCATGTCATTTTGAATGGCAGTTTTACTTTAAAAAAAAACAGACATTGGTTGGCAGGAGAGTCAAAAAGGTTAGACATTGGTTGGCAGGAGAGTCAAAAAGGTTAGACATTGGTTGGCAGGAGAGTCAAAAAGGTTAGACATTGGTTGGCAGGAGAGTCAAAAAGGTTAGACATTGTCTTGGATTTAAACAAGAGTCAAAATGTAGATACTGTTGCAAAAACTGTTGATCCCTTTTTCAGCAGGTTTTCACCCCTCTGTGCAGTGAAGCAGTCGGTGTAAGCTTGGCTAACAAATAGAATTTTTCCCTCTCGAACTAAATTTAGTAAATATCGAATAACATTTTACCTTGCATACAATTATGTCCTGCTGACTGAAACCATGAGAAACATTTTAGATATTTTAGCATGTTTCTCATGTTATTTTAATTTCTTTTTTATTTATGATTAATTTCTATAATGCTGGCAGGCACAGGAGATTCAGTTATGCTACATAAATGATATTTGTCAAGAATACCTACCTTCAAAGTCATGTCATTTTTTTTTTTTTTTTTTTTTTTTCATCTAAAAATTGAAGACCACCTTCTGGTACTGTTAAAGCATAATTAACTGTTCCCATATGATGGTGGCTGGTTATTATTTTGATCTTTACGAGAAAATGGGAAAATACCAACTTCCTGATTGGTACCATAGAGCCAAGCCTACTGAAATAAAAGGAAAGGGAAAAATAACATGAAATAGCATAGAAAAAATGGAAAGCCAGAAAAACTGTTAAAATGAGAATATTGCATAAAACAGTCAAAACATGAATTGGTGTACATTTTTCAAATTTTTTTTTTTTTAATGTTAATATTTTTTTAAGATTTTGTTTCTGTTTTCTGCTTCTCTATTTTCCTCAATTCATTTTGTGATTATTTTTTTATTTTTTGCAGTTTATAATCTATGGCTTCTTCCAGTGTGTTGATGCGTTCTTATTCATTTTTACGTTCCTTCCCTTGCGAATATGCTTGGCTCTAATCAAGCTGCTCACACATCCATGTGGTTTTTTCATGTATGGGTAAGTTGTCACCTCAGCCTTTTTTTTTTTTCTTTCTTCACATTTTCAGAATCTGTTGTTTTTTTTTGTTTTTTTTTTAACTTTTCTTTTGTTTAAATACATTCTAAAAATTGTGCTTTGCTTTTTTTTTTTTTTTTTTTTTTTTTTTAAACAAGTAAAACCGAGTTTTATATTGAATTTGTGGATAGTTCAAAACAAAGCACAGAACAGTGCTTGTTAACAAATGATACTTGATCATTATTCCCATTTGATCAACACTTGCTTGTCAACTGTTGGGTGCTTGTGTCAAAGGTAAACTTGCTAAATGTTTGTACTGATATACAATTTATTTTTAAATAAGGGATTATCGTTATTATCCACTGATTTACCTTGACTGGTGTGGCCTCATTTTTGTTGTTTTGACATATCTTAATTGCTATGCACAGTCAGTTCAAGCCAAAGTTAAAAACTGTCAGTGCCTATTATTATAAATGACCCTGAGGTTATTTCATCCTTGTCAAATAAAGCTAAGCTCTTTGTAATGAACTTTGCCCCTAATTCCACATTGGACAACAATGGTCATCCTTTACCTGACTCTCTTCTTCGCATGGACCACATTGTTATTTCTTTCAGAACTCAGCAAGTTTCCAAACTCATCAAAAATCTTCACTCTATAAAGTCTACTGGTCCAGATAAAATCTGTCTGGTTGTTCTTAAGTTATCTCCAGTCATAACAAAAGAGCTAAGCCTGACGGAGAAACATTTCCCAAATGTATGGAAAGTGCCAGCTGACTGTCCTGTGTTCAAGGATTGAGGGAAATGCTTATCCTGTCTCATTATTGACCCATCAGCCTTTTTAATGTCATCAGCAAACAAGAAAGTCATTGATCACCTCAACAGGAACAACATTCTGAGCAACAAGTGGCGTGGGTTAACCTCTTCTAGGTCCACTGTTGATCTCTGAACAGCCATAACACAGATAATCAGTGAAGTATAATTCCATCATGAGAGCAATCACCTTAGATATCTCAAAGGCCTTTGACAAAGTCACTATCAGGTTGAAGGTTGGTGTCAATTGTCAAGCTTCTGAAGCCTGTGAAAACCATGCAGGTATTCCACAAAGCTCAATCATCAGTCCTGCCCTCTTTCTGCTTCAGAATATGTTCAGATCAGTATCTACACAGATGATACAACAGTTTATGGATGACCAGAGCCTGGCAACTGATCTGTCTTCTGATCTAACAGCACAATGGGGGGAAAGCTGGTTTGTAATTTTTAATACTTCAAAAGCCAAACAAGTAACTTTTCATCATCACCAAGCTGATCTGAATACTAACCTGTCCCGATGAATGGTTACACACTCAATGGGGATCCTTGCTTTGAGGATCTTTTGGGACTCAAGTTCACCAAAGATATCGAGTGGAACTTGTATATATAATCCATTAATAAAAATGCTGGCAACATGATTGGCTTGTTGTACCACTCCAGATAGTACCTGACTTTACCTGCTATGCTCTCTCTCATGTAGAGTCAGATCAGACCAAAAATGGAGTATTATTGCTGTATCAGGGCTTGAACTGCACAATTCTCTCTTTCAAACTTTGTGGGCAATGAATTATTTTTTGCCCTATAACCCCTTTCTTACTGATGAAATGTTGCAAATCTATTGCTACTCTATAACTATTTCCATTGGAAATGTTCAAACAAGCTACAGTCATTATTTCCACCAGTTCAGACATTATTCTTCTATCCAACAGTACTATTGTATTTGTCATAGTTTCTGTAGAAATAAATTGGAGGCATTACATTTGGAGCATTTCTTATAATTATTTATTATTCTTTTTTCATTGTAGTTCCAGAAAAATACTGGAGCCTGCCCAAACCTGTGACATTCTAAAAGGCATCATAATTGTGATAAGTTGCTGTATCCTCAGTTACCTGGATATCTCGATGATGTACCACATCATTCGTGGCCAAGCAGTTCTTAAACTCTACGTTTTCTATAACATCGTTGAGGTGAGCTGCTTATTAATTTTTTTTTTTTTTTTTTTGAAATAATAATTCTGGGCTTTTAATAAAATAATTAAATTTTTACCTGCTTTACTCAAGCAATTCTAAATAAACTAAAAATAAACTATCAGCTGTGTAAAGATTGTAGTCATCCCTAAAACTGCAAAGACAGCAGCCATATTTTTAATGGTGTCATCATAAAATCCTGATTATATACATCATACAAAGGCCTTTTTTTTTAATCTTAACATCAAATAATAATAATTTCCTGTCTATTGATTTGTAAAAGGCATAACAGATGAACTAACTTTGAAAGAAGAAAGTACTTTTGTTATTTTAAATACATTTTATTTTTAATTCTGACTTTGTCTCAACATTTTTGTTTAATCACTATTTTGAACTGAACCATTTTTTTTTGGCTTGTAACCATCAATCAAAATTAGATTCTTTGAATTTCTTCAATAAAGAATTTGCAATTATTAAATTTTATTCATCAATATTAATTTCTTTTATTCTGTATTCTAGAATAATATTTATACTAGTATTAGATATAATAGTTTTTGAATATGTATATTGCTTTCTAGTGCCAAAGGTATTTAAGTTCAGAATTTCAAATATTGACTTTTTTTCAAGTTTTATTAAAAAAATTTTTAATGCACTTTGTTTGATTTGCAGCTTGCTGATAAGCTCTTTATTGGAATTGGTCAAGATTTCTTAGATTCCTTATTTTGGAGTGCTACAGAGCCTCGAGGTCGAAAAAGAGAACATATTGGAGTTGTGGGTCATCTTCTTTTGGCCATTATTTATGTCAATATCCTTTCTATTTTAATTTCCCCAGAAGATTATTAAATATTGTTTTATTTTCTCACCTCCTTGAATAACTACTCTTTCAATGGTTGATTGTATGTCTGTATGTGTATATGTTAAAATCGACATCTGTGCTAGCAAACTGAGAGTGACAACACCAAGGATCAAAATTCTCTACTAGACTTCAAGGTAGCCTATTTGCAGGTGCACATCTACAAGTCACTCTGGCCATGCCAGACAATTATGTTCCATGGCAAGAGTTACTACTTGACCAGACTAGGGTTTGGATTTGACATTACACTGCAGATAATGAAATCCATCATAAGAGCTGTGCTATCCCAAGAAGAGGCAATCAAAAACACAACCTCAGCATATATCATTGACATCCATGTCAATGAGGATGTAGTACAAGTCTCATGTGCTGCAGAATTCCTGTCATGCTTTGACCTCATCAGTAAATACACAGAATACCTGATAGATGGTGCTAAAGTGCTTGGTTTGATGGTCTTGGAGGAGAATAGCATCTCAGTGGAAACAGAAATGCACTCCCAGGTGTCCTCCTAGTAATTACTAGGATAAAGATGTTCTTCCTCTGCAGCAAACTTGTAGGATATCTCCCAGTATATGGTGGTTGTGTGTAGCAATTACCATTATGAAGCACAGGGCAAGTGTAGTGGCAAAAAAAATGGAACTGATGATGCATCAGCTCAGGAAGATCTTAACAGAGATTGTAGACCACGTGAAGAGATGAATGGTGTGTAAATGTGAAAGTGTTCAATGCGTGGGTTGAGGTAATAGAGTATTACTTAAAATGAATGGGTCTACCATTGAAGATGTATGATGGTTGCATCTTGAATCTGACATAGCACAACAATCTATTAGTTAGATGTCATCATAATAAAGTGAGTAAATTTATCCATACAGTGGAAGTCTAATTAAAAATAGACTCCTTGTGTGTTTATTGATGAATCAGTAATATTATAAGCCTCAAGCAAAACTCGGTACCAAGGCTGAAAGTGAGATTTGTTGATAAAGTGAAGGCTGGAGATTTTTTCAGAGTTAATAGATTATTATGATTTGGTGGCATTGTCAAGTGAAAGCAATGCAGGTAGAATAACTAGAATTCCATAGAGGTAACTGAAGGCAATGAAACTGAACCTGAAGTGCAAATTTGTGCATCCACCAAAGATGAAATTGAGGCTAGCTGAATACTAGAAATATGCTCAAACAGTGGGCTTCCAGATGTCAAGCAGACCACTTACTTTGCCAGAAGAGTCACCCTTTCTGTATCTGGAAAGGCTGTCAGAGCAGCCATCAAAACTTGTATGGAGTGCCAAACAATTGATTTCTTACCAATTCATTGACAGCAAGGAAAACTGGAGGTGTCCAATATGTGGCACTGACTTTGATGAACCCAACTCACTATGGTGGCAGCCACTACTTGACCTTGATAGGCTGTGGGCCAATGCGATTTGCTACCTGGTCAACTGTTACACTGATAAAATTCTGTGAATGTTATGTGGCAGCTCGAGGCTGTATTTTTAGGATATGTAACCCTTGATGAAATTCTTACAAATAATGATACAGCAGAGTTATGGCCTTCACAACTTTTACTGATAAATAGTGCATTCGCTTATGCTTTCAATAGGCATATATGCCATATGGAAACTGTATCATTGAATGGTCCCACAGAACTGTAAGGTGAATTGCTGCTAGGAATAACTGTTCTATCAAGGAGGCACTATACTCATATAAAGTGACACCCCCAAGGATGGCATCCACAGGGTCAGGGTGGTCAAAATGGAAACCTCTTATAACTTGAGAACTGTGTGTGTGAAATTATATATATATATATATATATATATATATATATATATATATATAATATAGAAAGAACAATGAGATTTATAATTAAGAGTTCTTAGCATTTTTATTTTTAAAAACAGTGCTAGATACAACAGTAGAGCATAATATTATAATTGCTTGTTTTTAAAATATATAATCATCACAACACCGAAATTCCCATGTTTCAAAACTGAAACCTCAATTTAAATACAAAGTTGATAATAGAACAGAATTTTGTATTTTAAATTTAATTTGTATGATTGAATTTAAATTGAAGTTTCAGTTTTAATACATGGGACTTCCTGTTGTGATGATATTTTAAAATAAATAATTATATATATATATATATATATATATATATATATATATATATAAAAAAAAAGACAATAGGAAATCTAGTTTTAGCCAATGCATTTCATCCAATGTGGACTTTTCAAGGCAAAAAAAATTCAATGAATTTATTGAAACAAAGTATCTATAAACAACAAACAATGTCATTAGCAATTAGAAATTATAAGAATATATATATATATATATATATATATATATATATATATATATATATAAAATGTAGAATGAATGAATGTTTATATTTCTTTTCTCAACTGAGTTTTAAATGTGCATTTTCTATAATATTTCTTGTGTGACCATGATTTCTATGTTGGATACAACGTCAAAACAGATTCTTTTTGTCATTTATTTTCTTTAACCTTTTCACTTCTCCACAGTATTTTGATTTTAGTGCAGGCCACCATCTTGAATGTTGCCTTTAATTCTCACAACAAATCGCTTCTTATCATCATGATGTCTAATAATGTGAGTATCTGACATTTTCTTTACAATGGATCTTCCAGATTTCATTCCGAATATTATTTGTTTAATAAGTATGAATTTCCCAAAGCAATTTCTGAAAGTACAAAATGAAAATGATTTTCAAAACAAATCCATTTATGTTCTAAAAAAAAAGAAAAAAATTTGTTTTTCAAAAACAAATCTTGAATTTTTTTTTTTTTTTTTTTTGGTTTTGGTTTTTATTCGTGATTTTTGCGAAATAATTCTCTTTAAACCTGGTCTTTTCCCCTGCATTTGCATTTAATGTGGCTTTTTCTTAATTCTGTTTTTCTGAGTGGCAAATGATACACTTTGAATTTTTTTTAAAAATGTTGGCGTATATTGCATGATTTATGCTAGAATTGAACATATCACTCCTCTAGAAAGAATGCTTCACATTTATTGAGTGGAATTTTATATCGTCATTAATATAATCCTCGAATTTGACTGCTTCTGCGAAACAGGTTAATTTTATAAAAAAGACGCATGAATCTTAACAAGAGATTCTCTCTGGTTTAAAAGCAGAACCTTTTTGTTTTCATCTTTTTTCATTGATCACCAGCACCAAAAGCAAATGGAAAACTGCCTTTGATTTAATGACGGCATCCCTTGTGTGTTTGTTAAAGGTTTCTTGGTTGATTTATAAATTTATTTGCCACTTTTCTACTACAGCCAATCATTGACATAATCTTGCTAGGTAAACATGTTACAAAATGAGTTAAAAGCTTGAAACCACTTCACTTCATAATGTTCTTCAGACATTTCAAATCTCTTCTTAATCTATTGATTATTGATGTATTGATTCTCACTTTCTGAAAGAATTACAAGAGAATGACTTTTCTCAAGCTTATCAACGATTCATCTTGGATTTTATTTTACAAACAAAAAGAATAAAACCTGGATAGATTTTGTTCACTAGTAAATTTATTAGTTTTTAATTTAAAATTTTTGTTTAAACTGGCCAACCATTGATAAACTATTTTTAATGTGAAAAATTTAGAAAACATTTTTTTGTAATTTTATGTACATTTCTATTTAAATTTTAATCACACAAATTAGCAGCCATTATTATGATCATTAATATTATTATTTACATTAGTGATCTGAATATCTATGATTTACTAATATATCATTATTTACAGGATTTTAAATTTATTTCTTTGATGAACCGGATATTATTTATATGGCAAAAATATTTTTATCCCTCTATCCATATATGACTATATACCTCCTGACATTCAAGTACATAAAAAAAAAAAAAAAAAAAAATATTTCCATATGCAAAAATCTAGCCAAATCTTTCTGAAAATGTCAATATTTTTCCAGATTACTTAATTTTGAACTATTTTAGTAAAAATTTTGAATTTAGTCCTATGCACCCACAAGTGTTATTGCATTTACAAAACTCCTTTCAAACTGTAAAAAAAAAAAAAAAAATTTCCTATGATTTTCCTTAATTTGAAAATTTTTCAGTGAAAAATTAATATTTTAGAAAATTTACCAGAATTGACTCACTTCACCAGTTAGCAGCCAGAGGATAGTAGTTTGAATTTTTTTATAAGTCATTAATTAAATTATTTTCAAAGCTTGTGAGAAGCAAACTTTCTGCAATGGAAAATATTAAAAATAAAAATTGATCACAACTAGAATCCTTTTAAGGGTCCTCCTGTCCAAAATTCGACCTTGTGAAGGAGGAGGTCAAGCTCAGATATCTCCTTAAATGTTAAATTATAATAAACAGAAAAATAAATATAAGTATTTTTAAAAATTTGAATTATCTTTTTTATTAGAAATTATAATAAATTGTTTTGTTTGTTTTAATAAGTAAATCATAAAAAGTATAATTAAAAAAAAAATTTTTTATTTAAATTTTTTTTGATCCTAATTTTAGTTTGTCATGGAAGCTTAACTATCTGCCATAAAAAAAAAAAAAAAAATGTTGAAAAACATTTGGTCTACACCAACAGAAATTTGATCCAATCTATGGTGCACCATGAAAAAGCCCAATCCCAAATTCTGTCCCAAATCTCATAACTAAATTTGATATTGCACCTAATCGGCTAATGCTTGTGTCCTCTCCAAAATAATAGAAATACCAATTTCTTCTTTTGGATTTTCCTTTCTTTCATTTATTCATCTTTATTTAAATCAAATTTCTTATTTATTGTCAAAACTATTTTGGTTTTGTATTTATGTGATAAAATTTATTAGTTCTTTGGCTGAAAGATTTTATGTAGTTTTTTGTGTTTTTATAACGATAACTTCAAGTGTCTATTTTTTTTTCTGCATTTTATGCTTTATATATTTATGTTGTCTGCAAATATCTGTCTAGTATTGATAGGAATATGGTGATTGTGTTTTATGATGACTAATATCAACTTAGTATTCAATAATAAATACACAGACTTGGTGTACATAAGACAAGCAGATAAGCAGCCCACACGGTCATCAACAGTTTTTTTTACTTATTGTTCACTCAATACAAGGCCCATGAGCCACTCAAGATAGAGAGCTTAAGAAGAGGAGGAGGAGGTAAGAAGTGTAGTTTAAGATGACAGGAAAGTTAACAGTTAAGTCTAGACTTAAAAAGGTTAAGATTGTAGTAATCCATGAAGCAGCAGTTCTTGGGGAAAAAGCTTTCTGAATGGAACTTCCTTCTTACTAACAAAATATGAAGGGAAAGGGGGGGGAGATTCATTCCAGTCTGTGGCATAGTGAGTCTTAGCTGTGAAGGTCTGAACTGGTGGAACTAAGAAATGTAATTCACCTGAACACTTTCCATGAAATTAGTGATAGTGGGTGAAAGGCTTACAGTGTTTTCTTTATGGGGGAAAGTGGTTGTAAGATGGAAAATAATTCATCACCCACAAGGATACAAAGACATTTCTAAATTCAATCAAAGCTGGAAAGTGATTTTTGGGCAACTCCAGCGCAGATATGGCGACAATATTCCATTATTGGTCTGATCTGGCTCTTGTAACGATAGAGCATATCAATATGGGTCAAGACATGATTTAAATTTATAATATTCTTGTTGTGTCGTGTATATCGCTAAGTAAGCGTTCGACCTCTGTTCTAGTTGGTGTCCATTTATCATATGAGCTACCTGCTCATATGCAAATTATACTAATTTGCATCTCACTACATCTCCCTATAACGGAGGGGCCTTATGCCGCGAGTACTTCTTGTACTTCTTCTTGTGCCCTCCTGAACATCTTCCTTTATCTCTCTCCTTTCCCTTGGAGATCTAGATCTATCATGTCTTTCCCTATAATCGAACTGTTCCTCTTGCATACTCTGGTCTTTCTCTTCTAACTTGTCCCATTCTACTTCTTCCTCTTCTAACTCATCCCTCTCTACTTCTTCCTCCGCAGTTTCATTCTGCATTAACTCTTCTGTTACGTCAATAATGGGCATCTCTGAAGGCATTTCCTCATCTGATTCTTCTCCTTGGGATCTTATTTGGTCAGCATGAGCTAGAACACTGTTCCCATTTTTCTTTTATTTAATATTGCAGTATTATGTCCTTTCTGCATAATAAATTCAGCTGACTTCAGGTTGCATATTCCTATTTCTTTTGTACCACATCTTTTGATTTGTGGCATATGACATAGTCAAAGGGGACCTTAATTGTCTGCCCATTAAGGCAGATGGACTTTCCGCCTGCCTGCATGTAGAATTGTTCTGTAACTTAATAGTAGTCTTGGTAGAAAATCATCGATTTCCTCCTTCTGTTGCAAGCATGCTTTTATGCCCTTCTTTACCGTCTGGACCATCCTTTCCGCTGTCCCATTACTTTGAGGGTGGTAGGGAGGGGGGGTCTTGTAAGGTCTGCATCCTATTTTTCTTAGCCATTCATGCAAATCAGCATCCACAAATTCTGGTACGTTATCAGTCACCAATGTTCTCGGTGTCCCATTCCTCGAAAATATTACTCTTAATATTTGTTTTACGGTGGTACTTTTTTATCAGGTACTCTCACCACTTCAGGCCAACCTGAATATGCGTCTACTAATATCAATAATAGTCCTATCCCATTGACAATAGGCATGGTCCATGTGTATCTGCTCCATGGTTCTACTTCTCGGGGCCATACATGTATTTTCTTTTGCTTAAAATTCCTGAGTTCTGTGCATTTTTTTGCATCTTCTTACGTAGTCTTCTACATCTCTTGAGTACCCCGGCCACCACGCTTCCAATTTTAATCTTCTTTGCGTAGCTGCCACTCCACAATGTACGTCATCGTGTACACTTTTTATAACCTGTCTCCTCTGTGTTTCTGGGGGAACTACCAAGTCTCCATTACATATTATCCCGTTTTCTATATTCATTCTGTCTAATTTCTTTGAATGGTCTTTCAGCCATTGAACAATTTCCCCAGCGATTCTATTTTATCCTCGACATTATTCTATTTAACACTGGGTCATTTGTAGTTTCAGTAGCCATTTTATCTACAGATATTACATCGGTTTCTACAAGGTGCAAGAATGTGTCTTCAAATTCCTCGTCGTTTTTGTCCTTCTCCTCTCTATAAAACCTCAATCTAGATAAGGCATCAACGTGTGGTATCGTATTCCCTTTAACATATTCAATGTCAAAGTCAAATGCCATCAGTCTAATCACCCAACGTAATATTCTGGACGTTGTAACTTTCGGTAGCTCTTTTCTTGGGTTGAAAATAAATTCCAGTGGTCTGTGATCACTTTTCAACAAGAATTTTTTTCCCATCAAGAACTGTCTTGCTCTATCCGTTGTCCACACTATGGCTACTGCCTCCCTTTCTATATTTGAATAATTGTGTTCAGTTGTTGTTAATCTCCTCGATAAGTACATTATGGGATGCCCATCTTGTGACAAAATACCAGATATGGACTGCTCACTAGCGTCAGTAGTTAGAATTATGTCCTTCTTAGGGTCAAAAATTTGTACTATTGGCCTTTTTGCCAGAATCTGTTTTAAGTTTTCAAAGGCTTTCTGTTGGTGTTCTAACCAAATGAATTCCACATTTTTTTTTCTTAACTTAGCAAATGGTTCTGTCAACTCATTATATTTTGGTACATATTTTCTATAAAAATTTACCAAACCTATGAAGGACTCCAACTCTTTTTTTTTTTTTCGTAGCAACTTTTAGAATTTTCTCTATTAGTACTTTATCTGGAGAGATCCCTTCCTTTGATATTGAGTAATCCAAAATGATATTTCATTACTGTTGGTTACACACTTTTTTGTATTTATTGTCATACCAGCATCTCTTAGCGGTTCAGTATATTTTCAGTTTTTTTTCTTTAAATCATCTTCATTTAAATCTCCAACACATATATCGTCTTGATAACAGATGGTATTTTTCAACATTTCCTATTACTTTTTCAATAGCTTTTGAAAAATTGCACTTGCTTGTTTTTTATGCCATACGGCATTCTTTTCCACCTTAACAGGCCTATAGGTGTGTTTATGGTCGTCACTTTTTAAAATTTTCATTTATTGGTATTTGGTGGTAAGCTGATTTTAGGTGTATCTTCGAGAATACTTTCATTCCAGCAAGTTTATGTAAAGCTACTTCCATATTCGAATAGGGTACGAGTCAGCACAAACTTTATGGTTCACCCCTTTTTATAATCTCCACAAATTCTCAGGTCACCATCTTTTTTTTTCAATACCACAATGGGTGATGCCCATTTACTTCCTCCTGAGGGCAGGTTCTAATAAATCTTCCTTTATTAGCTTTTCGCAATTTAGCTATTACCAACAGTAATAAATGCACTGGTATTTTTCTCGCTTCAGAGTAGGAGGGCGAAACATTTTCTTTTAATTTCAGGCTAGCTTCATAATTTTAAAATTTTCCTGTTTTTTCTATTTCTATCTCATTAATCAACTTCGTTGAATTTATTTTTAACACGTCATTCCCCAGTAGTCCATGCATTTTTCGGCAATTTGTAACTATAATGGGTACTATTTCATATTTTCTTTTTAGTTCTATTGAACCTTCAAAGTAACCCATAATTGCTATAATCGAGCCATCAAACTGACGTAATTGTACGTTGATTTTTTTAAAAAACGGTTTTCCCATTTTTTCCCACAAATTTCTGGTAATATCGTGACCTCACTACCTTTGTTGACTTGCATTTCGACAATATAGTCGTTGATTTTCACTTTTATTTTTGTATCTCCGTTCTTAGATCCAGTATTTTGTATATTATCCTTTTTTACATTAAAAATCTGTCTGTTTTCATCCTCTACTCTTTCCACATTTTTTCGTTTTACATACTTCTTTTGAAGTGATTTTTTTTAAACACTTTGAACACATCTTTCCAAAGGCTAGGTATTTTTCTTTTTTCATTTCATGAATTTTTCCACAGTACGCACAATTTTTTTTTTTTTGTTTGTGCCATATATGTTTCAGCCATTATTTCTTCAGAGGATTTATTTTTTATTTTGGTTGTAGGTATGTATTAATTCCTGCTGTTGTATAAATTCTATACACATATTTAAAGGCATGTTTGTAAGTTGTAACTGTTCCATTAACTTATATCTATGTGCTGAATTATGCATACCTTCAATTAATCTTAGTTGGATTAATTCTTCTTCCATTGTCTGCTCTCCTGTTCCTAGTTTTTTGAATTCACAGTATTTACTCGCACTTCTTAACCGGTGTAAATATTTTACTATCAGTTCATCCACTTCCTGCTTCATTGCCATAAACTTGGTCATTCTGCAATCACCAGTCTTTTCTTTGGCCTCATGTTTCCCTTAATAACCTGACTTATTTCTTCGAAAGTCATTTCTTCTAGTTCTCGAGGGTAAACCATTGTAGCAACCTTCATAATCGCTTCACAACCAGCAGTAGCCATAAACAAGTCAGTAATTTCATTTTTCCCTCCTCTGTTTTTGTTGTCTTTCAACTTTTTACATCTTGCATTAGCAGCAAAGCAACGAATCCACATATCTACGTACTCTGGGTCTTCAAGGACCAAAGAGTATCCTATCGCCATTGTTGTGTCATGTATATCGCTAAGTAAGCGTTCGACCTCTGTTCTAGTTGATGTCCATTTATCATATGAGCTACCTGCTCATATGCAAATTATACTAATTTGCATCTCACTACAATTCTAAACACCAAATGAAAAAAAAACATATATCAGACTGGAGATAAACATTTGTTGTATGAAAAGAAAAAATTACAAAAACATTATTTAAACTTGTCTGTGGTCTTTAGTAAAAAACAAAAAAACAAAAAAACTGCTTAAATTAAAAATGGCTGTGTGTGTGTCTAATATGTAAATATGATACAGAGAAATGTTGGCATATATGACTATTTCTTGCTTTATTTCTTTTCTAGTTTGTTGAGATAAAGATAAATGTTTTTAAAAGAGTCGACAAAAAGAATTTGTTCCAGATCTCATGCAGTGATGCCAGAGAAAGGTTCCAGTATATAATTCTATTATTTGTTGTCTTTGTACGCAACATGGCAGAATTTTCTTGGAATCCTGGTAAGTGGAATTTGTTTTTCTGTTGACAGATAAATGTAAGAACAATGAAAACAAATATTAAAAGAAAAAATTATCTCAAATTCTCAGCTGAGTGACCATTCTTGTCATCATGATTCCTTAAATAGTCCTGACCAATAATCCTAAGATTTCATTGACTGAAAGAATATAAAATTGACAAAGATGATGATATTAGCCTTGAATGAGGTGTAGAATGAATTTTAATTCTATTTCCTTTTGATGGTTTGGATTCAAATAATTTGAAGAAAACTTTTTATTTTCAAATTAAATTTAATAATGCTCTTTACTTTTTTTTTATTGTCAGCATTGAAACTTTAACTTTCTGTCAAATATTTGCATCATATTCTTCAAGATACAGACTTTCATATTGAATTTAAAGAGATTTTACTTTATAAGCGTACATAAGAAACTAGCCTGGAAAAGAAAAGAAGAAAAATTAAATAATGTTGAAAGAGTTTTTTTTTTCTGTTCAGTTTCATTAGCCAATGATCTTTGGGAAATCTTTCACTTAACAATCCACTTTTTTTTTATATGAAACAACTTAGATTTATAACATTGGTTCAGTCAGTTATGTACCATACGTAATACACACTTAGGCAATCATGTATCTTTCTATACATAACTAACGAGGCAGATTTTTTTTTTTCCCTGCAGTAGGTTGCCATTTCTTTCTGTGGTAGACCAGTTGCCACCCTGGTCTGTCCTCCTATTTACCCATAGCTGGGGGGAGAAGAGGATTCATACCTTTCCCAAGGGTATTAGCATGTAAGTGAATGTAATGGATTCAACTCAATTACATTCACTTATGTACTAATACTCTTGGGAAAGCTATGAATCTTCTATTGGTTAGCAACCTTATTTCTCTGACTAATTTATTACCATAGTGATTTTGATCCTCACTGAGTACCCTCTATATTTCTGACCTTGTACCAAACTGAGCTAAGTTATTAAATATAAATAATAAATGGCTTATCATTTCAGACTTTTTTCTTTTTCAAAGCTGTTTTTATATTAATCAGTCCCTATAAGAGTCATGAAATGATCATGACTGTTAAAAATGTGTTCATTAATTGAAACCAATCTTGAATATCATGATTTTATAGCAAAATAAGATTTTCATTTGTTGCATTGAATCTAAAAAGATTTTGAATTAGAATCTGATATGGTATTCAAAAGTGATGAAGTAGAAACTTGTAGATCATTTCTGACTTGCATATATCCACAACTAACACGTCTCAAGTATTCATCAATATATAGGATCCCAAAAGAGAAAATGACAATCAAATTATATCCCACAGTAACATGATCAGTTATAAAAATGGAATGAACTGAATGCCCAAAAGAAATGCGGCAAGAAGCCCAGCGTAGAGATTGTTTTATGAAATGCGTCTCCAAAAATACAAAATAGATTCTTTTATGCAAATAGAGGTAATGTAGTAAAGAGAAAGAAAAGCAAAAACTGAAAGAAAAATCCTAAAGAAATTATAACTAATCTCTTCTTCTGGTGTAATTTGTAGTAGTAGTACAAAAATTGACCTATTGTAGGTGAACTCAAAAATGTGTGATGTAAATGCAAGTTTATGTAGAAAGAAAAAATGCTGTATTAAAGACATTGTGCTACAATATAAAATTATAATAGAAATGAATATTTTCTTGTTTCTCTAGAACCTTTATTCAAAACAGAAATTTATCTTAATGAGCCTCTCTTTGAAAATTCTATACTGATCTCAGTTGACCTTTTATTTCTTTTTTTTTTTTTTTTTTTTAATATTTTTACTGATTAAAATAACTTTCCAGTTACGTTGTGCATAGCATTATTATTTTTTTTTTTCATCAGCATTTCTGAATTCCATGAGTTACTTTGACTAGTATCCTGATCTTTGTTGTAGTGATCACTTGTCAGCCTGAAGCTTCCATTTCTAATGATGTAGCTAACTATAAAATTCTCTAAGTAATGAAGGATGTACAGTTTCTAAAACATGTCAGTCATTCACGTAAGAATATTTGGAGAACTCATTGGCTGAAACATTGTATTAAAAATTGCAAAAATAAAGATACTTGTTCAAATAATTCCTAGAATAATGATGGAGCTTGATCTCATGGCTTCAGTTACTATTAGAAAAGCCAGCAAGTAACCTAAGAGATCTATAATAAATATTCAATAAAGATGAGACGACTAGATCAACTAATGAAAATGTTCTTCTTTCTCTTTTAGATCACATTGCTGTCATCCTTCCTGATGCTGTCATGATTTTGATTGCTGAGGTTATTGTGGATTGGTTGAAACATGCTTTCATTACAAAATTCAATGAAATTTCACAAGAGGTAAAAAAACAAATTCCCATCATTTTGCTTGCTTTCATTAAGCACAACAAAAAATTTAAAATTTTAATGATCTCTCTCTTTTACGCACACCAAAACAAGCTTGAGTGTCTTTGTCGTCTACAAGTCATGGGTTTTGTCTGTAGATTCATTACCAACATTTCAAAGAAGTAAAGTTAATCATTGTAAAAGAAATAACAACATTATATAAAGGAAAAATGAAATTTCATAGTGTGTTAAAGAAAAAAAAATCACCTAGAAAATTAAATATTGATTCAATATGTTTGGTAAAAAAGGTAATATTGTATGTGGAAGAAAAGTTTACTGAGTAGCAAAATTCCACTTTTATTGAATTAAAAATTGAAGACTTTAATTCATTTAATGGCCACCATCCTAAAAATGGGTGAGTGGACATTAAATAGCTTCTCGGTAGAAACCTAGAATTGCTTCTCGATTTTTAGCAGATTTTACAGTGGTTATTAATGGGTTGATATTCAGTGCCTTTTCAAACCTGTTTGCTAAGCAGGAGATGCAAATTGTAGATGGAGAGAGAGAGCAAATAGAAAAGTGAATTATTAAAATGAAAATGATTTTTTTTCATGAAAAGTGATTCCAGCATCATAAATTTCTCATCAAACCCAGATCATAAAATCATAAATAAAAAGATAGAATTATAATTATAAAGTGTTTTCAAAATTCATCCTTTGGAACATTTTCATCGCATAGATTCTCTTGTGGTGAGTATGAAATAATAATAACTCCATTTACCCATACCCTTCAAATTTGAGTGAGCTGAGTCAAAAGACGGAAATAAATTTGTGAGCCTATGTGAAATTTTCTTTGGACAAATGTAAACCTTGCCTTCACAGAGATTGGCCGGCGAGCTGAGAAGGAAAGGAAATAAGTTTGCAAGCCTATGTGAAGTTGTTTTTGGACCAATGAAAACCTTGTCTCCACAGAAATTAGCTGTTGAGCCAAGAAGAACAAAAAGAAAGTCATGAGCCTATGCAAAATTCCTTTTGATATAAAATGAGGAGAAAAATTAAATTAATAAGTGTCTGAAGTCATGTGAAAGGTTTTGTTTCTGTTTATGCGTCCTGCGTTCAAGCTCTTGCCAGTGAAAAATTACTTGCCAATTATATTCTCGGCCTTTTAATCAAGCACTTGACACTTCAAAGAACTTTCTTTTAACAATCCAAAAAAGCTAAGTATTTCAAACTATCTCTCTTCATCTACTTTTGAACATATGTAACTGTATATCCGTTCTGTGAGCAACGAACTCTCTTACCTTTATGTCAAACATTTTTGAATATTAGTTTGTCAGATCATTTAATCTGTTGTATGAACATTTCCTTTTCATGACAATTCGTTAAAAGTACGGACTTTAAAATTTTCTGATTTATTTTCCTTAAACGAGCTACTGACAAAACTTCAAGCGTGTCAATTCATGAATAAATTCCTTATCTTGTTTTGTTAAAATTACCTGTGTGTTTCTTCATATTATCATCCATCATTAATTTTCTTGGTGTGAGTAAATCAACTGTTCATTTTAACCCCTAAGAAGCTCCATGACACTAGACTCTCAATTGCCATGTAAGAATGACAAAATCTTCCATCATTTGGAATCAAAATGACATAAGAGAACATCTTCCCTCTCTCCCATCTTCTGACTGGATAAATCACACCTGAAGCAGGTTGAAAAACATATTAGCCAAAATGATATTAATCTAAACAATTCATTGATTAGGGTTAATACCTTGTCAGAATTTCAGGCAATAATTCCTATTGTTTTATTTCATTTTGTCTTTAAAATTCGTAACAGGATCAAATATTAAGATGAAACTGCAACTTCAAAAGAAAAGATATTCAACCTCTTCTGTTTTTGATCTTGAAAAGCCCAAATATTTTCTATTTAATGATATTAGTTTTAAAAATCCAATATTTTTATCCAATGTAATCTGGAGATTTCAACTTGTGATTTATAAAAAGCATGATCATATTATTGTTTGTGTATAGGATCTCCACTTTCATCTGCATAATTCATGTTCACACTAGTATCCCTTTTCAGTTGGCACAATGTCTAATCATAAAGATTGTTCTGAGAAACAATTGCAAAAGAGAATATTTCTGAGAAGTCAATTCATTATGCAATTCACATTCTAGCCAAACAGCATTGGATACACAGGTTTGGTCATTTATAAGAAAAGCTGTTTTAAAATGGAACCACTGCACAATAGATTATTTCATTGAATTAAAGATGACAGACACTTTAAGGGTTGAAAGGATAGCTCAATAGCTATATCGAGAGAGATGTGACACTTTAAGGGTTAAGATAGATCAATAAACATACCAAGAAACAAGGCAAGATTTATTAAATTCAGAGGGTTTGGTTTTTTCCTTCTTCCTTGGCAAGTTAGACATTTGATATTTTTTTTTTTTTTTTTTTTTTTTTTTTTTACAAAAACTATATGACCAAAGTTGACAATTGACTAAAATTAACCTGATAAATAGTGGGCTATACTAAAGAATAAAGATATGAGGATGTCTAATGAATAAGTCAGGAGTGGGGGCTGCCTAGCTGGGAGTAAAATGGCTTTATTATTATTTTGGGGACTCTAGTTGAAAAAACCATCTGGATAATTTAAATCCACAGAAGATGGAGCAAAGCAGTGTAAAAGCCAAAATTGAGACACTATTGTTTTTAAAATACAGGTTATGGAATTATCTGATGGTCATAACCTGGTAAGAAAAAAAAATCAGTTGGGAAATAAAATTTAAGGTTTTTTGGCAACAAAGGCAAAGTTGGAGAATTTTTTTTTTTTTTTTTTTTTTTTTAATCACTTGTCAAAAAAGGAAGGGAAGGTGTGAATCTTTGAAGAGATGAAATTTCTTCAGATAAGTGTCGAAATGCCACAAGAGGAGGCTGTCAAGGGAATGACTGGTGAGTGTTCGATTGGGAAGGCAGAAAGAGTTGAGAAACTCCATTGATGAAAATTTTAAACATTAATTAAAATTAATGATTGGAGCAAAGCCATACCTGTTCGCCCTTGCAGTCTAGAGATCAGATTGGTCAAAGTGACAACTGAAGTGAAAAGACCTAGGTAGAACACCAAGGGAAGTGAAGAAATTGCCTACACTCCTTGGGCAGTATTAGTATGAGGTACCAATACAAGAAGGAAGGAGTTAGGTTGGATCGATATTCTGCTACCACTACTCCTTGGAAGAGTGGCCTCTCTAAAATTGGGCATGCAATTAATTTCCCAGAGTCAAACAAACAAAGGACTCCAAAAATCACCAAAATCACAAGCCATGTCAGACACCATGCAAGTTTTGAACGAAGGTCCATATAAACAGAAGATCAAAGCAACAACTAGAGAGAGAAGCTGCCAGACACCAGGTGAGAGACAACCACTTCACCAAATTTGTCTGACTTCCTGAAGAAGACCTTTGACTTTGCGCTTGGGTTCCAGAAGCTTTGTCATGACGAACAAAGTGTCACAAAATATTTGAAGACGGAAAGGGTTGAATAATTTTGCATGACAAACATATTTCTGCATAAAGAACTAAAATTGTACCATCAGCTCTGTACAAGAAATGGCATATAAAACATTTTCTTTATTACAATTTATCCTATGATGTGTGGCATCACTTTGTTTGGACTAGACCAATTTGATGATTCCTGTCAACAATTTGATCCTCGCCAGCCTTGTGATCTAAATCAAACACAATGTGGGACGAGGCAAGGCAAGGCTTGGATTGAGATAATTCTTTTAACAGTCAGCCACGGGGATCAAACCTCAAACGGACCAGCTGGATGAATGTCACAATATCATAAAGGAAAACAAAAGTGACAAAATATTACACTTGTGTTTAATGGAACTGCCAATTTTGACTTTTTTTGATTGACAGTTTTTTGCAGTGTAAATGATTAAATATTGTAATTCTTTGAAGATTTGACAATGCCATCCAATACAAAATAAGAAGGAATTGTAATTATAAAATGAAGTATCAATTAACATTGATTAATATTTTGGCAATTTATTTAATTGATAGCTATTAAGTCTTCAAATTGTGTTCTGAACTTTTTAATGCTTTCATTGAAAATGACTTGAAGAAAAGAAAATTTTCCTAATTCTAGTGAAAATGGATAATTCTACAAAATGTCATAAAATTTCTTTCTTTTTTTCCTTTAACAGGTTTATGCTGACTATTCTCTCAGTCTGGCCCAAGACATGATTTCTAGTCGTCAAACACATGTAAGTAGATGATGCTTCAGATGAATTTATATCAATGACTATTCTATCTTTTGTTCATTTAATACATTTACCAACAGAATTCTTTTCCTTGGGCTTTCATTGTTCTATTACAAAAATTACCAATTTTGAGTAGACAAGAAAAAACAATTGTTTCATGATCTTCTACTTGGATGTTTTAACTTTTTAAGGTCAACATTTAATATCTCTCTTTTCCTCTTCTTTTTGGAGTATCATCATTCAAACCAGCATCTTGGATCTAAACAATTTTTTTCTAAATTTCTGAAATTAAATTTTGTTATTGTTGTTGATTCATTTTTTTTTTTTTTTTTTTTTTTTTTTACCACATTTTGGCTGTAGTTCCATTGGACATGCCTTGATACAAAACTTAATGTGGTGGATATCCTCATGTGGATCAAATAAAGGGCTTTGTTTGATATTTTTGCAAAGTTATTATAGCAGACACTGAGGAAAACTGAGAATACAGTTATGAAAAAAATATATGTTATGAAAAAGCAACAAAATATATATATATATATATATATATATATATATATATATATATATATATATATATATATATAAACTGAAAGGAACATTTTATAAAAAAGATCTCGTTAATCTGGTATATAAAAAGTCTGTACAACTGACAAGTAATTTCATTTATTGATTAAATAAAATTTCTTTTTTGGGATATCTGGACAATTTCATTATTTTTTTTTTTTTTTTTTTTTTTTTTTAGGCTTTTACTGACCATTCCGATTTGCTCTCTCGAAGAATGGGTTTTACTCCTCTTCCTTTGGCCTGTATTCTTTACCAAGTCTGTGTCCGCTCCTTCAAGGTACATGGCTATGTCGGCTTTGCTGTGCTTGTCATGGTGTACCTTTGGTAAGTAAATACATGTATTTGGCACTAATTTATTATCTGACCCATCAACAAAGTAACTCTTTCTTTGATGTCTACATTAACTTTTATTACAAGTGAAAAAAAAAATGTAACTTGCCTTAGAATAAAATATTCTGTCTTAACTTGAAAGACTTCTTGAATAGAAATCTTGAATTGCATTGTGAACAAATGCTGAAAAGCTCTTAGCCCAACCACGAAGTCCTTCCAAAAAAAACCAAAAAAACTTAGGTTTGATTATTTGTGCTGGAAAAATAAATGTTAAATATTTTGTTTTTTAATTTTCAGTTCATCATGTTGACTAAATCTCATTTTATAAAATGTGTTGTGAATTTTTAATGAGTACTTTTTGGAAATGGGTTTCCATATTTCAAATTTTCCATCTTTTTTATCTCCTCGGTAGAAATAGAATTAACAACTGAAAATATCCTTTTATGGAAAATTGCTTTTTGTGTTTTTTTTTTTTTTTTTTTTTTTTTTTATATGAAAATATATTGGTTGAAGTTCAATAATTAACCTGGATTTCTTAAATTAATCAGAATGGCAAGCCTCCCCTGTAAAATTTGAATCAGATTTCAGTGTTTCAAGGTTTTAAACTGAGTAAAGAATTTGATTACTCTGTTCTGATTTTTTTAAAGAGTAATCTGTTATTTGCTCTTCCCTATCCTTTTTGTTTGTTTTCTTTTGAGATATCTATTAAGTTAATACTTCACTTGGATAAAAAAAAAACCCTGTAATTTGACATTAATGTTTGCGAGGTCATATTATTATTAATAAAAAAATAAAAAAAAGTAAAAAAGAACTATTTTTAAGAAATTTTCTGAGTTTGTATGTAAAAATGGGAACCTGACCAGCTTCCCAGAGTCAGTCATCTGATGTTTGCTCATTAAAACACTGCTTGTTGTTTAGTGGGTCAGGCTGAGAACTTTTTAGCTCCTGTATAATATATTTTAATCTATATTTTTGATATGAAAGCAAAAATTGTAAATGAAGAACAATTACAAAAATACTTGTTGAACCTCACTAATCTGTAATTTTCCTTGTTTGGTTTCTTTATCAGCCTGGCACAAGGCCACAAGAATAAGTGCAGCCACTTGCAGTAAATCTCATCATTTAAGAAAAACTCCATTTCTTATTAATACACTGGCTTAGAAGCTGCTTGATTATTATTACTCATCTGAAAACAACAAATTTCGTCCAGTGGAAAGAAAAGAGTGTCTCATCTTTGTCTGGCACAAGGCCAAATATAGTTGAGGAATATGAAGTCTTGTCAACCATTATTATACATTTTTGGCTATCATTTCATTTTAATTATTTAGTTGATTTTTTTTAAGCTCCACTGTCAGTTTTTGGCAATGAGATGATAACACATAATAGAAAATAAAGGATAGGCTCCAATGTTGATAGGCTGAGGAAAGTGAATGAAAAAAAAAAAGCAACTAAAATGAAAATAAATCCTAGTCAAAATATTATTCAGAATACAAAAATCCTGAGTGTGAGGAGTCTGCCTGCTTTGTACAATCAGCATTTAAAAAAAGAAAAAAAACTTGTCTTTTTATATATGTTACTTACACTTGGACTATTGTCTTTATCTTTGTTGTTATTATTACAATGTTTCAGTCGTTGTTCCCTCCGGCTTTCATCAGGTTCTTGTTGATCTAGGTATCCTTCAGCGAATTTTGAACTGAAGCCATTATGTAATCTGTGGTGAAGATTGTTCTCGTTCTTCTAACCTTGTCTAGGAATATCTCGTCTTGTTTTTATCTTATACTGTTCAGTTATTGCTTGCCTTGTTTCTACCAAGTCAAAGTATACACTATTTGGCATAGAGATAAACAAGCACCTGATGACAGCCAGAGGCCATAATGTCTGATATGTTATGATGATGATAATAATTAATAAAGATGAGGACAATAGGCTGAATGTGAATAATAACTCCTCATCCCAGAAATCCTGTCCTTTTATCTGTGTGTGACACTTTGCTCATGGAAGATAATATGGGAAATAGGTAAATATGTCGGCTAAGAAATAAATCAAAAAAAGAAATTTTTTTATTTATACAGTTATGTCTGCTTGCTCTGAGTTACCTCCCTTTGTAACTGGTTCACTTGAAGTGATGATGATCCTGAAGGTTACAACAGATAAAACTTCCGGGCATTTATCTCAATGTCAGTCTTTTTACCATTAATTCCAAATTCTCTTTCAGATAAGACAAAATCAGAAATAAATGAGAGAATGTTTTATGAATTTAAAAAAAAATAAAATTATTAACTAAATCTTAGCAAATGCTTTTTATCTGCACTTGGCAAGACAAAAATTTGTTTCTAGTGAGACAGTGTATATCCTCATAATAATAATTGTTACACTTAATATTTGTTAAACTGGGACCTCTTGATGGAGAATATTGAATAAATAAAACTAAAAATGATGGTTGCTTTTAGAAGTTTGTTTGTTGTAGGGGAAATAGGGTGTTTAAAGCAAATTATTTTTATCATTGGTGTAATGGTGAAGGTATCCATTGACTGAAAAGTTAGCATTACTCTCGCTCAAAATTTATGAAATCTTTTTATTAAAGCAGTTTTTCAGGAAATTAGATTTTTCAACATCTTTCTATATTTGAGATGTGGTATTACGAATATTTATGCTATTTACATTGTTCGGACTGTTATCATCATCTTTATTGTCACATATACAACATTTCGGCCATTGTAAACTCTAGCCTTCTTACTATTTGTTTGTATTTGAAACTGAATTCAGAATAATTAGTTGGTTTTTCTGAAGATTACTTTAATGATTTTTGTATAAAAAAAAAAAAGAAAAAAATTCAAAATGTTCAAAATTCAAACAGTTTCAAAATCTTTGAATTTATGCTGCAAGACCCTCGACATACTTGTGAGAAAATCTCTCCAGTGGACACTTCCTCCTCCTTTTCCTGTAATCGGCAATTTAAGGATGAAGTCCTCTTCATTACCCACTGCTACAAATAGCTATATTGACTTATCCAATGTTTTCCATATTGGTCAGACTAGTTATAATACTGTCCTGTCTAAAAGCAACGAAAGAATTAGTGGGAATAAAATCCACAGAAGACATCCTCATTTGAAGAAAATTCAATTTTTTATATAAACATCATCAAACCAAACTTCAGAATATCATTATTTTCCCTTCTAGTTATGAGCTATCCATTTTAATTCTTGCTGCTGTTGGAAGTCTTCAAAGTTGGTATTTTTTGTCGTTTGGTAAAGTTTTGTGATTTTGTATTTTTTTTTTTTTTTTTTTTTTTATCATTTCATCCAAAACAAAATGGGAATGTGGGGAAAGGGGAGACCAAGGAAAGGATAGAAGCTGAACAGGGTTCAAGGAGATAGAAAATGACGATTGACATTGCATTTAAATTTTAGAAGATTGTAATTATCAGGGAAGCAAGGGAACGGAAGGGAGTTGCATAGGCAGGAAGTGAAAGAAAAGAAACTTTTGGAGTAGAAGTTTTAGTCTAAAAGATCAGATGAACAATTGTCTTGTTTAAAACCTAAAGGATTCATTTGCTTGAAGATATTTTTCATCAATGATCTGAGAAAATGTTATATATAGATGAGACATTTCTAAACAATTTGGATGCTATGCATGAGATCCATATGAGAGTTTAAATCGGACAAGGCTGTGTGTTATTTGGTTGAAAGATTTATTGTCATTTTAAATTGTTTAATTTTTTTTTTCTTTTACTTTCCAAAACAATTTCCACAACTTTGCCGAGTTAGGTTTTCTCTGCATTTGATAATCTTTGACATTGTTCTCTCTTTTCAGTTTGATGTCCACCAAAGTTCTGAATACAATGCTTCTGCTGGGACGAGCAAATAAATTGATCTACGGATGCAGCACTTCCTCATCTTCTTCTTCAACTACCTCCGCTCCTCCTGGGGCGGAGGGGCCAGAGCCTGGTCACAGACCTCCTCCAGCCAGCAGCAGTAGCAGCATGACTTCGACTCCAACAGCAGACTCTAACCTCAGACATCGAACAGCTCCCTTCAAAGTCAGCACTCCATCCACGGGGACTTGTCCCTTTGCTGTAACACCCTCCACTCCTCCTCCCACTCCGACTCAAGCATGTGAACCTTTTCTCAACACTATCTCAACTGCAACCGTCTCTGCTGCTTCAACAAAATCTTTGGCAACAGAGACAGGCAGTCGATGTAGCAGTTTCATATCCAGCAACCGACACTGGGAGGATGAAATTTCTGTTGCCGCTCTACCCTCTGCCACAGATGCCACCTCAGCAGCTGGTGAAGCGTCAGCAAATGAACTTGCAACAAAACTGTCTTTCTTAAAACCAGGCTCACCATTTGTCATTGAACATCAACCCTTGCCCTCAACGGACTGTGATTCGCAGATGTCTTCAAAAATTGTAGACACAGCAGTGAGTTTGGGTCAGAAAGACTATTTGTCACGGTCAGATTTGGAAGTGAGCAACAATGTGGACAGTTTAGATGATCTAGAAAAACCTTTGACACTATGAAGGTGCATTTTAGAACCAGAGTCCATGTCCCTTTCTTAATAACTCTGGTTCCAAATTCTTCAGCCATCATTTCTATCCTGGCCTTTGTCTCAGCTCTCATGGATGTGGGTGTGTGACATTGACTTATAATCATTACAACCAGTTGATGGGGGTGGGGGGGATATCCCGAAACAAATTTCAAAATAAGATGATGGAAATAATAAAAAATATTCATACAAAACTTGTTTTGTTGGCAAATTTGATTGAAATTTTTTTTCTTTGTTGTTTTTGAATCAAGAATTAATTTATTTATTGTCACACCAAAACTGAAAGAAAAAATAAGATTTGTTTTATTTTGAAATAAAATAGAAACTACAAAATTTGCTTGTAGCCTGGGCCTGTCATAAGTTATAATGACCTTCTGTCAAATTATGATGAAAGCATCTGTTTACAAAAGTTAAGCAACAATGTACTTAACCATTACTTGAATGGATTACCAGTGAGAAACATCAGGTACAGTGATTTCAAGCTTTGTGCCATGCTCAAATGTCATTTTAGTGATGAGAAAATTATATTTGTTATCATGAGTTTTGTGAAAATGAAAGTCCATTCATTTGTTTCTTGTTTATTTTCATTAGGTCTGTACCAATAAACAAATTAACCAATTACTGGTGAATTGATCTAAAATTATTGACCAATTAACTGATTAATTTTTAAATAATGGAAGGAAAGATTCAGTCTGCCTTTCAGAAGAATTACCATGTAGAAGTTTAAATTTTGCTGCTAGTCTACCTGCAGGACTAGATTAATTATTATCAGTTGATGTTTCAGCCTTAAGAAGATTAGAACATCAAAAGGGAAAAACACAAGTGGTTTAATAGCTGCAGATAGCAAAGACAGAAAAACTCTAAATCTAGCCTCAACTGGCCATAATGAACTTAAAAAATAAACAAAAATAAGGTTAAAACTGGTGACAGATTTATATGAGGATTATTATCCTCATCTTTGTTGTTGCTATCCCAAAGTTTCAGCCATTGTGACCTTCACTCATCACATGCTTGTCGATCCAGGTAACCTTCAAGGAATTTTTAACTGAACCTTTTATTTAATTTATGGGAGTAGACTGTTATCATTATGCTGACCATGTCTACAGATATCTCGTTTAGGACTGTTCAGTTATTTCTCATCCCGTTCCCACTGAGTCTAAAGTAGAAACTACCCAGTCCAGGGATTCTCAGAATTACTATGTCACCAAATTCACAAACTGACACTTTTATCAACTAGGCTATTGTTCTATTGTAGCAGATGTTTTATTTTTGAATTGGCACTCATTTCAAAACAAAACTGATCTTCTAAAGAGACTCTTTCAGCTTATTCAAAGAAAACATTTGTTATTTGAGAAAATAGACTAAAACAAGAAAGTTTTTGTTTTACAGAAAAGTTATACTTGTCATGACTTAGCCTCTCATCTAATAAAACAAGAAACAAAAACTCTTTCGTTGATACTATCGATACAGTAGCATTGGGGTCCAGTGCTAACACAGAATGCAATCCTTTTCCATAGCTTGGTTGCCACCCAAGACTTGATATTTAATCCATAGCTGGGGGTGAGAAGAAACAGATTCATGCCTTATCTAAGAGCATTAGTGCAAAAGTGAATGCCATACACTAGCCAACAATTTCAACTCAACTTGCCAATTAAGGGATATCCATGACATAATATCCTCCTTTAAAATATGAAGGGCTTCTGAAAATTCTCCTTAAAGTTGTTCAACAATCATTAAAAGAAGTAGCCCTCATTCAAGAGAAAGTTTAATAACTTGTTATTTTTAAATAAACATATACAATTTCATGACAAGAACATAAACTTACACATTTTGTCTTTTTTAATCATATTTTTGACTATTTTGTTTGGCTTCAAACAAGTTTCCTAATGACATTTGAACTTCAACCTTGTAGCAAGAGAACTTGTTATATTATTTCATAATTTCCATACTCCTTAGGACATTGAAGCCTCAGTCAAACAGAATTCCCATCTCTAATCCTTCTCTACTATTGCTGTCTTCATTCTTTCTTAGTCTAAACTATTGTTTCCTACCTAATTGTAGCAGACATAATAGCAGTTTGACCGATGTTCAGAAATTACTTTTTTTCTTTCTTTCACAGATTCTGAAAGACTTTTTTTTATCCCAGTCTTTTTTGGATCAAGTATTCATTGATTTTTCAAATTAAATTCTGTAAATGTGGAATAAGAAAGTTTTTTTTTCCAAGATGAAAGTGTGAAAGAAAAGGATTTCATTCAAAACTTCAGATAATTTAAGTTATAAGGAAAAAAATATCTTTGGAATTTTAAAACACACATAATATTTGACCTGTTCTTGCAAAATTTTCAGATTTGTTTATTAATTCTTGTGATTATTTTCTGCAATATAGTATCAGATTCTAGCCTTTTCTCAATCTGTTCAAAATGTGAAACTATTTAGCTATGGTAATTGGCTAACTAATTAACCATAGAAATTAAAGATGGGAAATACTTAAGGCGAGAAAGAGCTATACTGAAAGATAGATGACATTAAAAAAAGAATTTATTTTATTTACAAAAGGAAGAAACTTTTCACAAAAGACAGAAAATCAGTAAGAAAAAGCGAGACTGATTCTGTCAAATTAATTAATGTCACTATAAGGGAGTGACGCGTCAAATGAAACAGAATTCTGAAAGATAAACAAAGTCGGCCGATGCATGTGGCCATGAAAAAATTTCAGCTTGAGACCACCCTAGAGAGTGGCCATTGATTATCTTTCAGAGATATCATTTGGCTTTAATTCCTGATTCCAGCGAGGGAAGCCATCTGGTCTATGTACGAATCTTGACATGAAAAAAAAAAAAGTTGAAAAGAGTCATTATTATTGCTTATTCAAACTGTTGACTCGATAATGAGCATCTGGTGATAAGAGAATTTTAAGACATGAGAAAAATAAAGAATTTAATTGTCGAGTGGGCATGGCCACCCAGTTGAAGGATTGAACAGCAGAGGACCCAGATGTCGGGGATTTTTTTTTTTTTTTTTTTTTTTTTTTTTTTGACAGTGATTAATGAGTCGATAGAAATCAGGGCATTATGATGTGATTTATTCACAATCTGGGAAATGTAAATGTTTTGTCCGAAGGAAAAAGAAATAAAAAAGGATTTTGTAAATATGAGGGCCAGTCTAGCCACACCCACACTGCCGAGAGATCATTGGCTAAGGAGTAGCATGGGTAATAGGTGGAAGTGAATGTATGAGAAAGACGGAGTTGTTGTTAACACCAATTAAGGGAATTGGTATGAGATACCAATGTGAGAAAGGACGAGTCTAGGAGGATAATTCTCTGACCTTCCCTCACGGACGAAGGAGGAACCCCGAAGTTGAAAGTTAATTAATCTTCCAAAAATGGGAAGTAACTAATTTTCCTGGCCTAAGAACAAAGATAATTTTTGTTGGGGATTAAGAATTGTCAAAGAACCCAAACCACGACAGATCCCAACCCGAAGTTGGTCGGTGTCCATATAAACAAACGTCTCGAGGCAGCTAGTCAGTGTTTTTTCAGCAGAGTTTGGAGTTGCAGTTGGAGACCAGCCTCACAGGAGCTGACTGAAAGATTTCCATGTCCTTCCTACCAAAAGCAAGTTTTTATTGCCGAACGACTTAAGATACCATAACTCGCTTAAGAAATGCAAAAAGTGTCATGAATCCCTAGAAACAGGCTGGGAGAGAAACACACTCCTGTATTCAACAGATAGATAAAGTTAATTGTTATTTCTCAACATATTTGAACCTCGAGAGTTTGTTTTATTATTTTTCTTTTGCTTACGCTTGTGCGGCATCACCTTTACCCCAGATTCAGCTTGCACTACGGCCCGACGCCTGATTGATTTCATCTGCCTAAGATCAAAGTCACAACGTGGGTAGGTTAGACTTGAGATCAAAGCAGTTACTTCAGTGACCAAGCGTTGAAGGCAAGCTGAGAACAACAAAGCTGGTATCGAACTGGAAATGACCAGATCAACCGGGACACAGGCTGGTGGCAGTGACAAGGAGTCAACCCCAAAATGCTGGTGGAAGAAATCTTACAGCTTCGCACTGCAACTGGGAGTTTACCATGGGCCGACAGCGCAGTGTCATATATTGACGTCATGATCAGTGGACATCACATATTGGTGCTGGACTGTGACCGTGACCACTGGTGGGTGTCACAAAAATAAATACTTGGCTTAACAAGTTGGTCACTGAAGTCATTGATTTCGAGTTTATTACTTGCAATGTACTTTACAATTATTGATTTTTTTTTTTTTTTTTTTTTTTTTTTTTCCTTTCTCCTCAGATGCATTCTGGTAGGTTTCTTTTTTTTTTTTTTCTCTCTTCCATTTTCTCTTTCTTCCTTTCTCATTCTTTTATTCTTTCTCTCCCTCAAAAACAAAAATCAAGTGTCACAAATTAATTTTATTATTAGATGTTCTATGAACCTGACCTTTTTATGCATATTTTATTATTTAAAAGCAACAAAAGAACAGTTTTGTTCACTATGAAATCATATTCAATAAATTTCATTTAGTAATACAAAATTTTAATTTTCAACATATGAACATTTGCAGTTGCAATGAGGCACCATGGAATGTCTATTTTATTCTCATATTCACTCCAGGCTTCAAGTGGAATTTATAAAAGAACCATTACTAAAAATGCTGCTAAAATGATCAGCTCATTCTATAGCTCCAGAAAGTATTTTCACTGCTGCTATGTTTTATCTTTACAAGAGTCAGATGAAACCAAAATGGAGTATTACTGCCATATCTGGGCTGGAGTTGCTCAATTCCTCACTTTCCCCACCTAGATAAAGTTGAAAATTGTTTACATGGTCTTGTTGAGGTCGACTTCTTGTCCACTCTGCATCCTCTTTCTCCACAGATGCAATATTGTAAAACTGTTGCTATTCTTTTGATATTTCCATGGCAAATGTTCAGATAAGCTTCAGACACAATG